GACGTTGGAAACTCGCTGCCCCAGCCAGCTCTGTCCTGCCCTTCCCGGCGACAGCTGCCCTAGACCAGGTGGCCGGGGTGAGCCCCTGGGCAGGTGAAGCTTCCTGATGGCTTCACATACACACCCCAATCTTCCCATTTATGGCTGGCTACATATATATTTCTATTTTGTATACATTTTAACTTAGACGCACACCTGTGAGGTTGGTGCTCATCTGCGGAGACATTCATTTATATTTCCTTTTCTCCAACACTTTCTCTTTGCCCGTTCCAGCTGATCGCAGGGGAGGATTGTGCCAGTGTGGAAAACTGGAGGGCAATCATGGTGGCTTTGCTGTACGTGGGTTTTCCAGGTTGTGAATCACGCCCAACTCACTTGATCAAGGGTTCAATCAAATAAGCAGCTTCACATTTTAACCAGCTCCCACCTCATTGTAGTAGCTCCTTTAACCCCATCTAACCTTTAAAATAATATCGTGTAAGCACTTCACACCAGCAACTTTATCGGAAACATGACCCCTACTCCAGCATGTGACTACTATTAATGACTATTTACAAACCCCACCAGCACCCGCATGAGGCTGTGTCTGGAGCCAACTTTGTACATCCCCCAGCCTGGTGCTATCATCAAATGAAATATTTGTGTCTCGTGTTCCTGGTGTGTAAACTGCCCAGACAATGTCCTATTCATCTTTGTATCCTCAGGACCCAGCGCTGGACACACAGTAATGCTCCCCAAATATCTACTGCAAATAAAGTTAAAATAAGCAGGTCGATGGGAGGGCAGGGCGGGGGTGTCCAAGTACATGTTTGGAAACAGTTTTAGTGAGAAGCGTTCGGTAATGGGGGTGGGGGAGGGGAGGTGAGGGTGGAACTAGACCAGCTGTGAGTTGATCACCTTTGAAGCTGGGTGATGGGGCTGCATTGTAGTAGTCTCTCTGCTTTTAAATGTTTCTGAAATTTTTCCTCAAAAAAAAAACCACAAAACCCACCAAAAAAAGTTGCATTTGTTTATAAACGGGCATGAGAAAGAAAGATTTTATTGGGGGGGGAGTTTGTCACAATGGCCTTTAGTTGAGGAACAAAGGCAGTGACTTCCATCTCTTCTGGGAAGAAGCCCAGACAAGGGTGCCACTGGTGTGGCTGGTCAGCCCTTGAGGTGGTGTCACTGTTTCCTGAGAATAAAACCCTCATTTATCTGTAGGAGGGAAGAGCTGGGTAATAAAGTGGTGGTTGTCAGGGGCTCAGATTCTGTGAGCAGATCTGTCTGTGACGATGGCACGAGGGGAAGGTTACAGGGACTGGTGGGCTTGTCTGGAATTTCTGCCGCAGGGGGGATGCCTGTGAGTTTCGATACTGATATATTCATCAGAAGTTACAAAGAAGACAATGTAGAAATTAAAAAAAAACAGCTTTGATATTTTTATGTGAAGAATGGGGAATGAAAATAAGTACACAGTGTACACTATTGGGGGCACAATGAAGGAATACAAAAGTTATCGTGTTGGGACATTGTGCTACAACATGGATGAACCTTGACAACGTTAGGCAAAGTGAAAGAAAGTGGTCCCCAAACCCACATATTGTATGGTACCAGTTATATAACATGTCCAGAGTGGGCCAGTCCATAAGACGGAATGTGGATTAGTGGTTGTCTAGGACTCAGCTGGGAAGGTAATGGAGAATGGCTGCTAATGGGCCAGAGGTTTACTTTAGGGGTAATTAGATTTCTTTATTTGTATAGTTATTATTGTTTTTCAATGCAGGTACTGGAGATTGAACCCAGGACCTCATGCGTCTAACCACAAATTCTACCACCAAGCTATACCTTCCCTCTGGGTCAAACACTTTAAATGACTGAAGTTCATGGTGTGTAAACTAATTCTCAATCAAGCTGCTAAAAAGTGTTGGGTGAAGATAAGAGGATTTAAAAAAAATTGCTCATCATGTCATGATGTAACTCATTGCATTGTCTTTTCTATAAACAACACACCATTGATTGTCACTCAAAGTTAAAATCAGCAAGGATATATCACATCCACCAATGATAATATATTTTTCCTGAAAGAAAATCCCAGAGAATATGTTTCTGATAAATCCCAAAATTGAAGACTCTCAGAATTTAAGTTCAGTTAGTTTTTGGCCAAGTGCTTGGCAACCAAGCACCTGAAGACGTGGAGTATGTTTGATTTTTCTAGCAGTTGCTGCCGTCTGCTGATGCCCTCTTCTCTCTTCCCTCTGTTGCTTTGTTGAGGAAGGGGTTGGCAAGTGGAGTTCTGGTGCTGGTCAGTCCTCCAGGTGGGTGATCAGTGTCCTCAGCCCAGTGGGAGTTCAGTTGTTCTCCCCAAATCACTGTGACAGCCCAGTCGTTGTTTTCATAGCTGTTTCCTTGAAGTTTTGTCCAATTGATTTGGAGCCGTACTCTGTTTATATACAGTGTAGGAACAGTTACAAGAACTTTAGGTTCACAGTATTTTAACTTTACTGAATTCATTAATCAGCTCTAATAGTTTTTTGGTGACATCTTCAGAACTTTCTATATATATAATATCATGTCATCTGCAAACAGCTACAGTTTTACTTCTTCCTTCTAATTTGGATGACTTATTTCTTTTTCTTGTCTGATTGCTGTGGCTAGGGCTTCCAATACTATGTTGATAAAAGGGTGAGAGTGGGTATTCATCTTGTTCCTAACTTATAGGAAATGCTGTCAGCATTTCACTGCTGAGTATGATGTTGGTTGTAGTATGATGTTGGCTTTGTCATATGTGGCCTAGGTTTCTAGTTCTTTACCTCAAAAACTGATAATAAGAGTAACCATTCTCAGGGGTTTGAGGTTGAAGAAGAAAATGTGTGTGGAGTACTTAGCACAAAGCCTGGCATGAGGCAATGCTAAGTAAGGACTGGGGCTTATTCATGTCAAGTTGTGACTCTGTTTGTTCACTAGTTGTTGACCTTGCAGTAGAAAAGAAAATGAGATCATATGAGCAAGGGGGAGCACAAGGCCTAATTTAATTGGTAAGAGTTCCATGTGTGTCATAGTTACATGGGTGTCTTATAAAGCTGTACTCTTAGTTTAGCAACCACAACTAAAAGGAGAAGGATGAGGAGGAAGATGAGAATGATGAGGAGGAAGGAGGAGGAGAGGGAGATGGAGGAAGAAGAGGAGAGATCTTTCATGCATAAAAATTAATCTAAAATGGGCTCAGGAGTAGGGAGTATATATTTCAAATGGTAGAGCATACACTTAGCATGCACGAGGTCCTGGGTTCAATCCCCAGTCCCTCCATTAAAAAAACCTCAAAACTAATAATAAATACATAGACCTAATGACCTCCCCTGACAAAAGAAAAATAATAAATAAAATGGGCACAGGGACCTCTCTGAGTGGCTGTGTCCCTCTCCAGCCCTGAAGCTGCTGTTCACTTTTGTGATTCCCTGTGTCTTGCCTAGTCTCCTTCTACCAATCTAGGATTTCCAAAGATACAC